ACAAAGGTGCACTTTATGANTTACATTTGGGAAGTAAAGTGGGCATACGTATGTGTGGACCACCACGTACCAGTTGGAGCTGATCTAGCTGAGCATTTTAGTATTTTACTAAATACCTGCATGGTTGAAAGCGGTTTACTGTTGTGGTTGGGCATTAAATTACTTCTGTCTGAATCGTGGCAAAAAGTATTTTCGAAAGGATTTTCAAGCTTGGCGGCTTGGAGTTGCAGGCAATAACGATGTAAAATACTTTTAGATCCTTTTCCGTACTGTTCGCCCATTTTTTTTTTTTCATTTTTTTTTTTTTTTTTTCGTGCAGCACAGTCGTGATTTTGAGCCGAGCTTGGCGCTGACACCAGACGCATCGCCGGGGCCATGTGTGCGGGTGTGCGGCGGTGTGCGCCGGCGTGAGCACGCCTCATTCTGCTCGTTGCTTGCTGGGTGAAAATGAGTCGTGGCGACGAGGCAGCCCGGGCTCGGGACGCCCTTTTGGCCGATCTTGGGCTCGACCGAGCTGTTGCCGCTGAACTCGAGGCCCCAGACAGGCCGAGATTCAGGCCTAGGGGGGAAGCTTCCAACGCCCTCGCCGAGCTGCAAGGCCAGAACCACGCGGCACTTGCCCATTTCCCGGACACGAGGTCTGACCCAGTCTGGGCCAGCGCGAGCGACACCCAATGGCGTTTGCATGTGGATCATCTACTGCACAGCCTCAATGCAAGGCCCGCTACTGACCGCATCAACCTGATCACACCACTTTCCTGTGACACTAAACACCTCTGGTCCGCCCTTGCCGCTGCCGTGCGTTTACATCCCGTTGTGGCTCTTGAAATCCCTGCAGATCAACCCGTGACGAGTCAAATCCTTTGGCTCAAGCTCTGCCTGCGCCGCTGGCGCCGCTTCCACGCTGAAGCCCTCGCCCGTCATGCCCTTGCCATAGCACAAGCCAATCGGTTTGCCGTGTTTCAATCCATCGACGCGGCTTGGGCTCAATGGAAGGCTGCCTTTTTCCGTAAAACCTTTCCTGCTGATGCCCTCTGCCGCCACCACCTGCTTCGCTGCCACTGGGACCAATGGCGCAAAGCCACAGCAGATCTCCGGCGCGCTCGCTGCCAGCTCCATCGACGTACACTCCACCAGACTCTCACCAAGTGGAGGCGCTTTTCTGCTGCTGCCCACGCCCGCACCGTTGAGTCCCAGCGCTGGAGCGATGCCCGGAGTCAAACCCAAGCCCTTCATCGCTGGTCCCACGCTTGGTTGGCTGCCCTTGAGCGCGAGCGGCAAGCCCATCACCAATGGGCTCGAAATCGCCTTCGGCGCTGGTACCGTCGTTGGGCTCGCCGCTGTGCCTTGGACCGTGCGGCTCAGCAGTACTCCCACCGGCTCTTGCACCGCGCCTGGTTTGCGTGGTACCACCGTCTCATCCACCATCAGCACACACTTGCCCAGGCTATATTATGGCACGGTCACACGCACCCGCGTCAGCGGCGCGCGATTTGCTGGGCTCATTGGCGCGCTCTCCTCGACCACCATTGCCAACGCCAAAGCCGCGCCCGAGTTTGGAATCTTCAGCGTCCCTGGCACCGCTGGCGCGCGCTAACCATGTACCACACAGCTCGTATCGAGCCCCTTCGAGCTCGTGCAAAGCAAATGCATTCGCAAGGCCTCTTGCACCGCAGCTTGCAAGCCTGGTCAGCTGTCACGCAGCTCGCTCGCCTCTATCACGCCGTGCATCATCGACATGAGCAAGGTCTTTGTATTGCAGCCTGGTCACGTTGGCGCCGGGCCTGGCACGAGCGCCAAGGGCTCCATGCTCGCATGGACCGAGCCAATGCCCTGGCACGTTGGGTGGCACAACGCTGGACGGCACACGTGCTGCGCCGCCGCCGTCGCCGCCAAGCCTGGCGCTCCTGGGTTCAAGCCGTGCAGTTGAAAGCTCGCCCCATTCGCTGGCGCCTTTTCAAGGAGCTTCTTCTGCTAGAGCGACTCCGCTTGCAGGCCCTGACGGCGCAGGCGGCTGCTCGCCATGTTGTGACCACGCCTGCCCCCATTCATGCTCATGCAGCTCTGCGCCGCACCTGGCACACCTGGCGCCAACAGCTGCTCAAGTCTCGTCAACGTCAACACCAGCTTCAAGAAGCTGAACACCTGCGGGTGCACCAAGGGCTCGCGTGGTCTTGGCAGCGCTGGCGGCTAGTTCACAATCGCCGACAACAGCTGCTTCTGCTGGAATCACACGTGCGCGTGCAGCGACAGCAGCACTGCCTGCGTACAGCCCTGCATCACATGCTAGCCTGGCGGTGCCACCTCCTGCAGCAATCGGCGCAGCTACAGGACTATCGTGCTCGTGGGCGTCTTGCGCACAGCTGGCAATGGTGGCGCTCTTGGATGGCCCTGAACCGCGCCGCTCGCCACCACGACTACCACAGGCGGCAACAAAAGGTTTGGCGCTACTGGCGCCACATTTATCAGCAGCGTTTGGACGCCCGACACGCTCTCACTTGGCACTTGCACGACACGCTTCGTCGCTGGCGGACCGTCACGCGTGGTCGCCAGCAGCAGCGCATCAAATATTATCGCTTGCTCCATCGAGCTTGGCATGCATGGTATTCCGCTTGGCAGGCCCGTGGGGTGCAACTTCAGCGACGCCAGCTCCTCACCGGTGCCGCCTGGTCACTGTGGCGCGCTCGCTGGCACCACCGCCAGGCTTCTTCAGCCCGCGCCCATGATCATGCCCTGGTCCTCGAAGCACACTTGGTTCAGAGACGGGCTTGGCGCTGCTGGATTCAGCAACACTGGCTGAGATATGCCACACGACGACGCGCCTACGCCCTCATGCATTGGGCCTGGCGACAATGGGCCTATGCTGTGCAGGCGCAGGTGGAGTCTGCAGCAAGCGCTCAGCAGGCTGCCAGAATGGCGTTGGCGCAGCGGGCGTGGCGGGCGTGGCACGATGCTTTGCGTGATCGCGCGTACGCTGACCACTGGCGGCAGCATCGCGCTTGGTTGCGTTGGCAAAGTGCTTGGCGCTCCAATCGTCAGAACAATGAGCGGGCAAGGCTGCAGATGGAGATGTTCATCCTCCACTCGACTTTTACCAGATGGCACTGCAATCTCAAGCGGCTTCGCGCCCAGCAACTTGCTCACGTTCACGCTGCTCAACATCAACGAATGCATCACTTGATCCGCCACACTTGGTTGCGATGGCGACATGTCCACCTCCGCCGACAACAGCACGATGCCACAAGGCTTGGTCTAATGCAAGCAAGGCAGACGAGGTGTCTGAGGGCACGGGCTTTGAAATGTTGGCGTTTCAACGCGCGCGCGCGACCTGGGCTTCGACTTGTGGAACAGCGCCGGGCGCGGCGGCACTTGCAGCATTGGCGCCACTTGCTGCGCCACTTTCTTTACCAAGCCCAGTTGGCTCTTCACCAGCAAAATAAGATGGTGTACATGCACGCCTGGCAACGCTGGAGGCTGGTGTGGCGTACGACAAGCCAGCGCCACCATCACGATGCTCAACTGGCAACCCAGACCCGGGCTGCTTGGCTAAGCCGGCATGCGCTGACGACCCTGATGTGCCAGTGGCGGTATCATGAACAGCGCTTGGCGCTCGTGCAGCATCAGCTTACTTGTGGGACAGCATGGCGACGATGGCAGCGTATGTTGCACCGTCATCGCATTCAGAAGGCTAGTGCTGATCGAGCTGCTGCACGGCAGTGCTTGCGACGTGCCCTGCATACTTGGGTCAAGCAACAGTCTCGCCAACTGATGCGCGTGCAGGAGGCCATCGAACACCGCCATCGCGTACTGCGGGGTCACAGCGTGCAAGCCTGGCGCCGATACTTTCACGAATTGTCGGTGGCCCGTTGCTTGGAAAAGTTGCAAGCATGGCGTCGCTTTCGCCGTCAATTTGCAAAGCAGCAAGATCAATCCCGTCAGCTGGCAGCGCTCGCGACGCAGTGGCTGGCCCACCAGGATCGACAAAGGTGCTTGTTTGCTTGGCTGCACTGGCGCCAGAGGTGGCAACTTGTTCTACAGGCCTCGGACGATAAGACTGAGGTCCGGCCTGCACTTTCAGGCACATGGGACCACGTCACGCTTCGCGACAATGGACCAGTCGCGGATATTGGCCGAGACGCTCTGCCTCGTGCCGAACCAGGGACATGGGAGCTCCCGGCTTCTACCGCCGCCTGGGCTTTACCATCGAACCTGGGTCGTGTCGATGAGGAGGATAGCTGGTTGCGGCAGAGTATGCGCAGCTGGGCCAGTACGGGTCTGCCCGCGGATAAGGTGCGCAGTCTTCATCAGTTTTACCTCGTGTTGAGGCTCAAGCGCAATGCGGTGATCCTTCGGAGGTGCTGGCAGCGATGGCGTACGCTGCGTTTGGTTCGGCTGCATGCTCGGCTTCAACCCTTTGTTTTACAGGAGCTGGCCTCATCGGGCCAGTCAGTGCACGCCTTGAGAGCTTCATCGAGTTAACATCTTGTTGAGGATGCATGATTGAGAGTGAAAATGTAGGGAGTAGCTGATCAATTCGAAACTTTGAAAACTTTTAATTGACTGAAACAATGCGCGCCGTGGATAGCAACAGCGACTATCTGGAAACCCGAGGCTTCACGATGGGAAGGGATGATGCAATCGGGCAAAGCAATTATGTTTCTTTGTACTTGTCACTGCTAAAAAGGGAAGAGCTTGACGGGATGGGTGCCTCAGTGGCCATGGGCTGTTGGGCGTGTGTTTGGAGCCGATTTGCTCGAATGCCAGCGCCTGGACCATGGCTGTGCCCGTGGCCATGGTCATGGTCATGGGCGTGGTCGTGTTCGCATGTATGACCATGGCCATGGCCGTGACTGGGCGCGTCGGCTTCGTCCTGTTGAGCCTGCTGGAAAAACTGTTTTGCCTGAATAGGGTCCCGAATCAAATTCATGGCTTGATTGAGGATCGCCTGTTGGTGAAAGAGCATGTGGCGTGGGTGAGAAGACACGGGGCAGGGCGAAAGGGGAGGGCAAAATGGGGTGAAGTGGGAACCTGTTCATCGAGACCAGCTTGCTGTATCTGCTGGCGTGCAAAGGCCAGCTTGCGCATGGCACGAGCCAACGTGTCCTGTGCATAAGAAGCGTGGTGACGGATCAGAAATGGGGAAAGGTACACATGCCTGAAGCAAGCCACTTCGACGACGACGTGTGGCACACCTCTGCGCTCAGTTCATCCGCTTGGGTTTGGCGGCGATGCTCAGCAACGCATTCATCTAGGGTTTGGCTTTTCTGCGGGTCCTCCAGAATTTCTTTGATCTCTGGCTGCCGGACAACGGCGAGTTAGTATACGCCCGTGACGCCCGTGGAGTCTATAAAAACAATGGTTGAAGATGTGACTGGCAAGAGACAAACCATGATGCCGAAAACTAGGTCTTGTTGCTGCTTGATGCTGTGATACACTTGCATGCGCTTGTCAAATTCTTCGGGAGAGAGCTCAGCTCGATCAAGGGCCAGCGATTCACTGCACAAGCACAAGCACAAGCACAAGCACAAGCAGGCAGGGTCAGCGCTTGGGGCCGGGCATGACAGGAACTGCAAGAGATGAAAGAGGATGGTACGCACAGCTCCATGGATTCTTGAAAGGCGAGTAAGACCGACTGGCTGTCTTTGAAGCGGCGGCGGGCCTTTTTAAGCTGGCGAATGCCAAAGTCGGGATCTGCATCAAATCATGGAGCAATTTCGCGTACAGCAATCAAGGAGCGATTCGGGTGAAGAAGAGAGGCTGTTGCATGGCTGAAGCAAGGGGACGATGCACGCACCAATTCCATCGTCTTGGAAAATGTCGCGACGCACGTTTTCAGCCTCATCAGCGATATCCTAAGAGTGCGCCACGGCCAGGGGAGTGGCATGCTTTGTGAGATAACGCAGAAGAATTGCGACAAATGGTGGATGCAAAAAGGAGAAGTGCATGGGCCGTACGCGCTGCGGATCTTGATAGGCGGCTTTGAGGCGGGCAATGGTATCGGGGGTATTGATGGCCGTCTTGATATGCACGCAAATCGATCGGGCCGGAAGTGAGGGGGGCAACCTGGCGGCGATGATGTGGCCCAGTGCGGCCTGGATGGTACGAGAGGGACAAGACCTACTTTAAAGTGCTCGAGGTGTTGAAGCAGTTGGTCCATGGTGAGGAGACCGTCATTTTGCAGCTCTCCGGGACTACCAAGCGCACAGGAGTGGCAAGCAAGGAGGGGTGAGCAAGGGCAGTTTGGACTGCACGGCGGGCCTGCGGGTGGCGCACCGAAGATGGGCTTGTGGCTGCGGCTGCTCGGCCGTGAGAATGGGGCTCTGCACCCCCATGCCCTGCAGTGCCGTTGTGACGCTCGCAACCGAGGCACCCTCGCTCCGATGCTGCGCCGTCGATGCCGTGTCCGTCCCTGTTGCTGCTGACAAGGCCGACTCGTCTCGCTCATCATCCGCCGTAATGGCTTTGGCCTCGACCGACCGTTCCTGCGGATGGCCCTTCAGGCCCATGGCCGCCGCCACCCACTCCATCCTTCCGTTTCAACACCACACGCACCCACACGGCGGTACCACGACCTCTGGCTCCGTCGCCGACACACACACTCACACACACTCACGCAAACACGAAAAAGCACACACACGTAAACTTTAAACGAAAGAGAGAGAGAGAGAGAGAGTTTGAGAGAGAGAGTTTGAGAGAGAGAGTTTGAGAGTTTGAGAGAGAGAGTTTGAGAGAGAGAGAGAGAGAGAGTTTGAGAGAGAGAGAGAGACAGAGACAGAGAGAGAGACAGAGACAGAGAGAGACAGAGGGAGAGAGAGAGAGAGAGAGAGACAGAGAGACAGAGAGACAGAGAGACAGAGAGACAGAGAGACAGAGAGAGGGAGGGACAGTGAGAGACAGAGACAGAGAGACAGAGAGACAGAGAGACAGAGAGACAGAGAGACAGAGAGACAGAGAGACAGAGAGAGGGAGGGACAGTGAGAGACAGAGACAGAGAGACAGAGAGAGAGAGAGACAGAGAGAGACAGAGACATAGAGACAGAGAGACAGAGAGAGAGAGACAGAGAGACAGAGAGACAGAGAGACAGAGACAGAGAGAGACAGAGAGAGACAGAGACAGAGACAGAGAGAGAGAGAGAGAGAGAGAGAGAGAGAGTGTGTGTGTGTGTGTGCGCGAGCAATGAGAGAGATGTCAGGCGGTTCGGTCGTCGGGTGGTGCTATGGTGTTCCATAGGCAGGAGGAGAGAGAGAGAAGGAGTGAGAGACAGCAGCACACACTCGTTCTATGAATCGGAGAAATCTTCATCGGGCGTGAGGATGATGTGCTCTGCTCAACAGGGGAAAGGATAAAAGAAGAGTGTCTGTGTCAATTCGAAGGAGCGATCGCCAACGCAATGCGCGTCAATTGAAAGGCAGCGATCTCAAGAACTTGGATCGAATATGATGCCCTTTGGTTTCAAACATGGTCTCGCGCCTCTGAGCGCGCAAGCAACGAACAGGGCTTGGGGCTTTGATTCATTTAAGCGCGCGCCATGAGCCAACTGATCATGTCATCGCGAACCTACACCAACAGCAGTTCACCAGACCCGAAGTGAGTCGCTGGATGTGAGGCGAGAAACACTGAGAAGGAGAGAGAGAGAGAGAGAATTTGGGTCGCCATTGGGTCGCCTTTGGTCAAGCAAGCGTGTTTGCTCTGGGACGTACGCGCTCGGCACCGCCGTCTGGCTCGGCAAGCAACGCATGCCAAAACCCTTCATAAATGATTATGTCCTTGTCCTTGGAAATGGCCTTCTCGTGCAGCTCCCGACTGGCTTGCACCGATGTCACCTTGTCGGCATCGCCATGCTGACACAAAAAGGGTAGATCGTACTTGTCCAGCAGCGATTGGACCTAGACATGTCAAAAACAAAATCAATGCCAGCGAACACACGCAGTTCCTGCGCCCCCCTCCCTTTCCCTTAAGATCCTGTCCAGGCAGAGAACATGAGAACGCGCATACGTCGAGAACGGCATCGCGCATTTGCCAGGCCGTCATCAGGCGAGGGCGTCCGTGGTACACCATGGGATCGGCTGCAGCACGCTCTCGCTCCTACTTGAACGTGGCATGGAGACGCGCAGGATCAAAGTCGGGCGTTGCAAGGCATGGTATGGACTTGGCGGACATGCGTGGTGCCTTTTGCAAACGGCAGCGCACCTTGGGGTCCTTAAAGCCAAGGTGGTTGGTGCTGGGCACGGGAGCCAGGGGCAGCGTGGGAAACATCCACACAATGTAGTCACCCAACGCAATCTGGCCCCACAAATACCAAATAGGATCCGCATGATAGCGTAGAGGCATCGGACACCCATGAGAAAAACGAGAGACCGAGATGGAAACAACCGGAGCGTCAAAAAGGTAAACGACGGGAAGTCGGCTGGACAAAACCATCCGTCATGGACCGGCAAGGGTCACACTCAGTAGGTTGAAACGTACCACCCAGTCCGGAGGCAACATTTCAGGGGCGATGCGGCACATGGGGCATTGCACGACCACGCCCTTGACAATCTTGTGCAACGGCTGTCCGGGCGCCGTAGCCAAGAGAGTAAATGCACCCCCCATGCTCTGGCCTACAACAACGACAACGCCGGCGGCGATAATACAGCGGTGTCGAGTGAGCTGGTGCTGGTCGGTAGTACCCGGGGTTGAATCACGACCATTACGCACCAACAAGGAACATGGGAACATCGGGAAATTCTTGATGGATGGACATGCCATACTCGCCCACTTCAGCGACCAGCTGCTTATAGTCTGGGATATAGGCGCGGAGACCTAGGAGGCAAGGGCCAAAAGGGCGATGAGATGCCCAACCAGGGCTGACCACTGATGTTAATTTCTCCTCGAGCTCGCGCGTCGCCAAAACATGACACATGTGCGTGCGCGCCAAATCAGACCTTCGCTGTGGCCATGACCGGCGTGTGAGATGCCACAAACCATGGCTCCCCGGGATGTCAAATTCTCCACACCAATGCGTTCCATCACACCACTGTCGCCCGCAAGAAAGGTGGTCGCACAGAGACATTTGGGGGGCGCGAAAGCGAGCAAAATATGAGCCCTGCCCACCTCAGAGGCTCTGGCAACGGCAGCTGCGGGCAGCTGTGGCAGCCAAGACTTGAGGAACAAAGTCGGAAGCATCACAGCACACACACACACACACACACAGAGAGCACAGGCTTACTCAATATAATGACCATAGCCATGCACCATGAAGACAATCATTCTGGGCACCGGCGTGTCGGGCATGTACCGCACATCGTGCAACTTGACGCCCCGCTCCGTCACAAAGTATCGGCGATCCGCCTCGGCTGCTTGATCCGCACTCATCCTGGCTCGCACAAGAACACCTTCACCACCACCACCACCAGCACGCACCCTCTCACCCACCCAATACGTCTCTATCCAATCCCCACGCAGGCAAAGATGCGGCAAGCACACGGGCAAGAAGAAGCCCTGCGATCACGGTCTCGGGCACCAGCAGAAGCAGAGCGACGTCGCACGCGCCACTGACTGACACTTCAAGAAAAAATAAAATAAAAAATAAAAAATTGAAAAATAATTGTGTTTGTCATTGTCTCTGACAATGGTGATAGAGGGGATGTAATCTCTTCGAAGAGCCAACGAACTTTCTATATCTCTTGATACTGCATGCTTTTATCGTTGGTATTTGCATGTCTGAGTGTCTTGTCTCTGGATTCGACAGGATTGGGTTCACAACCTCTGAAACGGGCTTGAAAAAGCGATTCGTGTCTGCAACGGACAGCTCCGGCAGCGGGCTGCTCTTCCTCCTCCCTAGGTACTCCTCTGCCATCGCGAAGCGAGCTTTGGTTGGACAAGTCAACACCGGGCGCAGGCTTTGTGAGGTGGTGGGTGCTGAAAACATTGACCTTCAAAAGCCCTCTCTGCGCACAGACGACGTCGTGGGAGGATGCGAAGCGCGGGCGCTCAGCAATGTCGGGCTGGGCCCCTCCTGTGGCGGCTGGCGATGGCAACGGTTGTGGTGATGGTGCCTATCAACGCCATCAATGACACCCTTGGCAATGACGTTCCAGCCGAAACAAATCAGTTGGGCCTTGAAAATCAGACCATGCCGATCTTTGCGGGGCTTGACTTTGCCTGGCAGCGTCGAGTTTTAGGTACGCGAATGGGGTCTTGAGGCGCACCAGTGTCATGAGGCTTACCAGTGTCATGAGGCTTAGGGTGTTGCTTTCGACTGTAGATGCGTTTGAGACGCCTCATCGCCTGGGTACCTTTGGGAGCCGGTGGGACGCTCCGGCCCAGCATGCCCTCATGTCTTTTACGCCGGGAGTGAATGGCGACTTTGCCTTTCCCGCGACCTTTTTTCATCGAGCCATGGGCAACCTGTACGCCAATGCCGCCACTACTGGTGCTCTTGCTGGTTCTGGTCGTCGGCCCCGTGTACGTTGCCAGACTGTGCGTATCATGCCTCACGTGCCCATGGCCTGCTTTGCGCAGAAGTGCTTTGCAGCGGCTCAACGTAAGCGCACAGGGAACAGACCGGCTCAACACCAGCCACCCCGAAGCCCCTAGTGCCCGCGTGCAGCTGATTGTGCCGCTCGCAGATGACCTTCAAGATGCCGGCGCAGCCCACTATGTTCTCAACGGCTTCAATTTGTCCATGCATTGCAACGCATCTTGTGGGCCCTGTAATTCCAACGGTGATTGGATCACAGACTTTAATCTCACCCTCGGGCCTTGCCCACGAGCTTCCCTGCAAGCAAGCGCCGCTGCAGCCCCTTGGTGTGCCCACCTCGCAGTGACGCGCGGCTGGACACCCTCTCATGGGGGAGGCAAGGCTCTAAATGACTGCATGGACTATCGATGCACGGTGGACGTCCTGCGCCTGCCGCCTGCGCTCATAGTGGCCAGCGTGTCGGCCCAACGTCAACGTTCCCTGTTTGCGCCCATTAACGTGACAACGCATTCTGTCCCCCTTGTGCCCGGCCTCTGCGCTCCCGACCCCTGCCCCACTGCATTCCGGTCGCTTACTTGGCAGCTGACTAGCAATCAGTACCCCAATCGTGGCCGTTATCTTGAGCGCTTGGTCTTTGCTGTCGCACCCGTCGAAGCTGCGCCCACCCCCAACACAAGCCTGCACGTATTGGCCGGTCTCACCAGCCCTGCGCTGACCACCTATCCCAGCAACTACACCATGACATACACCATCGACGTCCTGCAGCTCGGCGCGCAGCCCGTGCCAAACTCGATCGCACCGCCCCTGGCTGCCACCTGGGTCGTCAATGGCACCGTCTGCAAAAATGACCCTCTCTCGGGATTTGAGTGCGCAGCGCATGGACTCTCCCCACAATTGAACACCATGGTTCCTCTTCCGTCGAGCGATCAGCATGGCCTGTTTGCATGGGCTCTTTAGCCGTGCTTTGTTGGGTCATGAGTAGAAGACCTTGTGCTTGATTTGTTTTTTATTTTTTCGTGTGTTGGGTGTCTCGAATGGTCTTTATAAGTGAATGTAATCGATGGAATGGTTAGGCAAGCGCGAGGCCGCCCGGTCGCCTCGGTTTACCCCCTCTCATCCAGTCGAATTGCGATGGTGACATGAGGTGGTCACCCTCCTTGGATACCTCCGCTTTCCTTTTTGGACCTGGAAAGAATGATTGGAGAGAGCCGGTCAAGAAATTGCTCAGCGTCAGAGCCAGAGTCAGAGCGAGAGCGAGAGCGAGAGAAGAAGAGGTAGAATGGGGAGATGGAGAGGAGAGGAGGGAGTTAATGGAGATATTCAGAGTCAGAGACAGAGCGAGTTGAATGGAGAGAAGACAGAAAGAAGACGATCTCTCGAGATGAATGAAGGCAGATAGACAGAAGAACGCATGTCGATGGAGAGCATTCAGAGTCAGAGAGCGAGAGTTTAGAGTCAGAGTCAGAGAGCGAGAGTTTAGAGTCAGAGACAGAAAGCGAGAGTTCTCGCGCGCGCACACAGAAACGAAGACACACACAGGCAGCAAAAAGTTTCTCTTTCGAGTATCGTTGTTTTCGCTTTGGGCCAAAGTTGGACCTTGTGCTTGAGAATTTTTTTTTTCTTTGTGGTATTGGGGGTTTATATGCTCGAGCATTCCAAGGCCCTTGTGGGAAGCGCGAGGCCGCCCGGTCGCCTCGGTTAACCCCCTCTCATCCAGTCGAATTGCGATGGTGACATGAGGTGGCCACCCCCCTTGGATACCTCCGCTTCCTTTTTGCGATGACTTTTGGTGCATGTCACGATCTGCTGGGAAAGGGGTTGCCGGTAACGCTTGCTGACTGCTGTACGGTTGCTGCCAAAGCAAAACTGTTGATTGTGGCCACCAAAAGCTCATTGTTGTGCAGCGAAAACGATCAGCCCTGTGCATTCCCAGTAAGAACAATTATTGATTCTCGCCATCACCACAATTTTGGACAGAAGGTTTGGAAGTCGCTTGACGACTAGATTCAATATGGGCAACTCGGGAGTAATAAAATGAACAAGTCGCGATCAAGAGACGGACGTGGAAAGTTCGGAACCAATCGACATATCAACCAGTTCATCGCACAGCCCATCCACAATACGCGACTACCAAAAACTCGATCAGCCGAATTAGGATGCAAGCAGATTCCCAAATGTGTGTCAGGGCAAAAAAAAAGAGAGAACAAGTCGCGATCAAGAGACGGACATGGAGAGTTCGCATCCAAAGTGATAACCATGTACCCGCGGATCAGCTGATAGCCAAGAGCTCTAAATAGACATATAAACCCCATCCACAATGTGCGACGCGACGTTGATTCGCAAAAACTCGATCAGCCGAGTTAGGATGCAAGCAGATTCCCAAATGTGGGCATTGTCGTTGATGACCGCCTGGTGAACTTCGCCACGCGGTGCCGCGATGACCGAATCATATCTGCACGCGATAGTTCGGTCAGGTCGAAAGCCAGCCAGAGAGACTCGCGGCTCAGAGCCAACATACAACATGCCAGAGCCGAGTCTGTCCAACACACCGCTCAGGTATGCTGTTCATTCAGAGTCAGGCTCCACAGCATTTGAAAGGCCAGTTTTGGGTTTTGCGAGGAAGCGGGTCGTGTTGAGGAGGCGTTTTGAAAGAGGTTTGAGAGACGGCCTTCGGGACAGTGGTGTCTTGAGGTCAATTGAACCAGCTGCGGTCGGCTAGCATTCACAGTGACCAGACCAGATGCACCATCGAAAAGGCTGTCGAGACGCTCAGGGAAAGTGCAACCCGTGCCAGTCAGAGGTGTCTCAACAAACAAACAATAGCAATTAACAGAACAGGCTTATCAGAGAAGTCTCTAGCCAAGACATTGCAAAGTACACGAAGCACACGCGGGCAATGCGTGCCAACACCCACCCACCCCTCCCCCCCATCAACAACAACGGGGGGCAACCCAGTACGTCAAGGTGTGTACGTTAGACAGGAGATGAAGACATATCAGCTATCGGGGTTCCTGTGGGAAGACCCATGGTAGATGACGCTGATTGTGTGCAAAAGCAATGGGGTGTCCAAATGCGTGGGAGAACAGCGGACTTGACGCGAACAACTAGCAACTTGTCCAGGCTATCCTAATTGGCCGTGTAGTATACAACCAGCTCGGGATAGATTTGGGCATTCTCAAACATAATCACCTCATGAAACTGCCCAGGCGGTGTCGCGACAACTGAGTTATACCTGCAGAAGTTTAACGGTAAACGCAAGAGTCAGATCAGGAGGCGGGCAAAGACAACATGCAACAGGTGCACGATTTTGTCCGACGCACCGCTCGTTGTTGGGTGCATCGGGCTGGAGCGGTGGCGCCAGCGCCCCAGAAGGAGGTGATGGATGAGCATGGGCATGGCCCAGGAGTGCTCGCGTGATGACGAGCATCCGTTCACCGTTGGGTCCGGCATCGGCGTACTGATGACTCTGGAATCGTTTAGCACATATCCGTGAGCGCTTAGATAAACAGGCGAAATTAAAAGTCAGCGCGGCCATACCTTGCCGGGATGGTCGGCCAAGTAAACACCTAAACCAAATCGGTGGCCAGCGCTGCTGCCAGCAAAGCGATGGTCAAGGCCCAGGCGCACTATCTTGTCGCGCAACACTGTGCTGGGGGCAATACCGTGGAGCAACAGGCGCTCTTGACAGGATGCATCGCGAAGCAGAGCTGGAGATCCCGAGGGCGCATCTAATGTGGACGTTTTGAGTTGATCATAGTGCTTCTGACTTTTGATGTGATGCAACATCTCCCGTCGCTTGGCGCTGTAGCGCTCCCACAGCACGGGGTTGTGCACGCGCTCTACCCGTTGCACTGCAATATTTGCTGGTCCCCGCCCATCGGTGTTCAGCTGCTTCAGTAGCTCACTCACCTAGCCACCCAGTAGATTCTAATTAGACGATTCTTGGAAGAGCAAAGGAAAAAAAAAAAAAAAAAAAAAAAAAAAAAAAAAAAAAAAGCAATCACAAGCGACGCACCTCTGATATGAGCTCGGGAGCGTCGCGCAAGACATCAATGGCTGGCCCAAGTTGGGCGATGGCAAGCTGCTGCGAAATCTGCTTGGCGCTGAAAAGGCTTGGCCGTTGCTTTGGATCTGTTGCAAGCAAGGCTCGCGTTTCCTTGTACAAATCGCTCGTTGAATCGCACATCTGCATCAGAGACGCCAAAGTGAGTTCCAGTCACACGAGAGCCGCGGTTGGTTCTTCGTTGTGGGTCAATAGGTATCGCACTATCGCTCACCTCAGTCGCCAAGTGCGGAAAGTCGCAGTCAGACTCTCCTGCTCGTATGCTCCAGCTGCATCGATCCACAACCTCATCAACCCGTGGGTGAGCAGGTGGCACCGTTTGTGGGAACATGTAGGTGTTGTAGAGAACGCAGCCAAAGGAAAAGGCATCCTGTGCCGGGCGCGCACCCACACGACCCATTCCAAATACCACTTCAGGTGCCACATAACCTGCCGTGCCCGACGATGCAGTGGCCGTGCATGGTAGCATGGTGGCTTCGGCGGCGGCCTTGGCAATGTCAAAGTCACCCAGCCGCACAACGGGCTGATCCTCCAAGCCGTCTAACATGACATTGCTCAGCTTGACATCTCGGTGCACCAGGCCCTTGCTGTGCATAAACGACAGGGCCGTGCGCAGCTGCGTCATGAGTCCTGCTATCACGGTTGAGGTGGCCAGGTGTCGTGCCGTGCTGAGCCACTGCTGCAAATCACCCTGTGCACACCATGGCTGTACCAAGTAGGCGCTTGGGTGGCCACTGTGCACGTCCACAAGCGCGCCAAGGACCGGAATGATGTGTGGATGCTCAAGCTGGCGCATGGCGCGGAGCTCACGCAGAAACGTACGGCACTGATTTGTTTTGTGCTGTTGAGCAAATGCATACTCCTTGACGGCCAAATCTTGTTCCCCAGAATTTGATAGCGCGGCGCGGGCCTTGTACACCTTGTGATTTTGGTTGTAATGAAGATCAAGCTGGCCCAGGCTGGAAAGCGACAATGCCCGGTCCACTTCGGTCATGGCCTCCAAGATGAGGCTGGCTGGAAGGTCGGGTCCAAGCACTGTGCGGAGCCGCGCTCCCAGCGCGCTCTGGTCAGGATGCAAAAAGTGGTTGTCTGGATGTTCTTCTGCAGCTCGGCCACCTCCTCATGAATGGATCCAACTTGATCTGCGCTGCTCTGCGTGATGCCGCTTGCATACTCTTCGCACGAAGTCAGCACGGACAGCGTCTTGGCCTGCCAGTCGATCATGTCTTGCAACTGCTGCAACAGGGCTTGCACCTCGTGAAGCGCAAACGCCAGATACCAGTCTTGATGCTCATAGTCATGCTCAACTCTCCATGTTATCAGCTGCTCCAGGCCGTTCTGCTCGGGCAAGCTCAGCTTTTCGTGGGCTTGGCACAGCTCCTCCCAGGCCTCGGGCAATGCCTCGGTTGGAGGTGGTGCACTCACATCCAACCGTTGCGCACACTGCTCCAGTCTCTCCACTCGATGGTCCGTGTCGGTGGTTCCCGCTCTTGCCACAGCACGCAGAGCAGTAATCAGCTTCAGCACTAGCTGCTCGAGGTTGTTGTTGGCGTTGGTGAACAGTTCTATGCGCTTGGCTCCCACGTCGCGTAGCATGGCGACTTTGTCCAGGGCTGCACCGAGGTTGGCGGGCGGCGTTTCGGGTGCCATGGTCAGCGCGGTGGGTGGATCGGGGCACGCTGCCAGCACGGTCTGAAGCTCGAGGAGCACCGGCTGTAGCTCAAAACCAGCAGTGACACCGTGCAGCTCTTGCAGCACTGTTTCTAGGTTGTCAGTGTTGGGGTCCAATTGACCCAAGCGGTTGCTCAACGCTTCGGGCGCTGCCAGTGCCTGGTCGAGCGCGCCGAGGGCCTGGGTGGTGGTCGCCTGGAAGGCAGCCCAGTCCATGGCAGGAAGCTCTGGTGGGGCTTTGTCGATGGTCCTCTGGATGTCCGCAACCGCCGTTGCAAGATTGGGGTTTTGTTTGGCGGCACCGCTGATAAAGGCATCGAGGTGGGGGAGGGGATGGGTGGTGGTGCGCTCCGGCAAGAGGGGCCTGAGCCAAGTATCCACCGCCACAACAACAGAGGCCGTGGTCTAATGGAGGGTTGTGTGGTGCCATCGGTCGTGATTAGGTTGGATAAGGCCGTGGGGATTGGGGCAATAAATGCATTGGGAAAACAAGATTGAG